ACCTTTTTAAGTATGCAATTCAGTGTTTTTCTTAGCATATTCACAGAGTTGTATAACTATCCCTACTATCTAGTTTCAGAATAGTCTCATCACCTCAGAAGAAAAGTCCTGTACTCATTAGCAATCAATCCCCATTTCTCCTCCCCTGCACTCCACCAGGCCCTGGCAATCATGAACCTACTTTCAGTTCCTATGAATTTGCCTATTCTGGACATTTCAAATGAACAGAAGCATATCATATGCACCCCTTCGTATATGGCTTGTTTTACTTAGCATAATGTTTACAAGGTTTATCTATGGTGTAGTATGTATCAGTACTTCATTCCTTTTATGACTGAATAGTAATTCCACTATGTGAATATGCCACATTTCCTTTATTCCTTCATCAACTGAAGGACATTTAGGGTGTTTCCACCTTTTGGCTACTACGAATAATGCTATGAGCATTTCTGTACAAGTTTCTTTGTGGACATATATATTTAATTCACTTGAGTATATGCCTGGGAGTAGAACTGCTGCATGATACGGTAATTCTTTGTTGAACTTTTTGAGGAACTGCCAAACTGTTCTGCCAAGCAGCCACACAACATTTTACATTCCCACAACCTGTGTATGAGGGTTCCAATCTCTCCACAGTCTCGACAGCACTGGTTATTGTCCATCATTTTTATTACAGCCATCCTCGTGGGTATGAATTGGTGCCCACCCAAGTTTAAAACTAAATGAGAGAGTGACATAGAAATGAAACATAAAAATGTCACCTTCATTTATTATAGAGCTATACTGGAGGAGAGGATTAGTTGAGAATCTAATAGGCCTGCTAATGCTGCACCCAGGAGTTAGCTAGCCTTACCCATCCAGGCAGAGACAATGTGGGACAACTCAACCCCCCCCCCACACACACACGGGGGTGGCCACAGAACAATTCAGAGAAGAGAAAGGTGGAAAGAATGTATTCTTCCTGTAGGAAGGTGGATCCTATAAAAAAAAAAAACAGGGGAGGGAGGAATTGGCTGCACAGACATACTTTCCCAGCAAACTGCTCTTCCTTCCCTGAGCAAGAATGAGCAAGGGAATAGGAAGAAGCCAAGGTGAGAAAATAGACCTAGGAAAAGACGCTTTCCCCACCTAATAATGATAGTAATAAGGTAGAGGGAAGTTGGGATGGAGGCATTTCATCTATTTATTCATCATGACTGCTGGTCAGGTAGTAGTTCCTTTCATAAGCAGAAGAGAAATCAAAGTATTAGTAAGCACTTACAAATATGTATTAGCAGCTCACCAAAAAAGACCTAACAGAAATATGTTAATTTTGAAAAGTACTTTCATAGTGTTATATTGATGCTTACTCTTTTATAATAACTGAAATGCTAAAAATTAACTTATTTAAATAGGCTCATCAGCAAAGTTGGTCAACAAATATATAGTACTTGAAATATGCTAAGAGGGTGAATCTTAAATGTTCTCACTACAAAAAAAGAGATAACTATGTGAGGTGATGGGTATGTTCATTAGCTCGAGTGTGGTGACCATTTCACAATGTATAAACATATCAACATGATGTTTTGTATAATACATACAATTCCTATATACATAGTTTAAGTTATATACCTTAAATATATGCAATTTCTATTTTTCAATCATACCTCATTAAAGCTAGGGACAAAAAAGGAAACTAGTCACAAAGGCCCACCTATTATACGATTTCATTTATGTCCAGAATAGGCAAATCTATTGAGATAGGAAGTATTAATAGATTAGTGGTTATCTACAGTTGGTAAAAGAGAGACTGCAACTGTTAACAGGTGGTGTAAGGTTTCTTTATGGAACGATGAAAATATTCTAAAATTAGATTATGTTGATGGATGCACAAGTCTGTAGATATACTAAAAACAATTATATGCTTTATGATATATAAGTTATATCCCAATAAATTTGTTAATAAAATAAGAAAAGTAAATAAATTACCTTTAAAGTTGTAAAAAAAATCAACAAAATAGTTGTATTATATATTATGTGCAAAGCACTGTAGGAACTTAAACAAAGGCTATTGCTCCATCAAGCGCAGAACAAAAGTTCTTCCTTATTCACAGATTGATGCCCAGCATTCATATTACATGCTTCTTTTTTACCTCTCCAGCTCCTATATTTGCTTCACATGGAAAGAAACACTTTTAACCCACATGCATGCAATAAAAGTAAAAGCCAAGACATTAATCTTTTCTTAGTGAGAAGTAAGAATGAGGGAGGGGCTTGGTAGTGGTGACATGGGAGAACCTAGGCAACCCTCTTTTCAAAGTGCGGTTGCAACTAATTCCTGGGATACTGTCAATATCCACCTTCATATTTAACTTCACAGCCAAATAAGACTGTTCTTTAGTTATGTGGATAATACTGTGTGTCTACGTGTGTGTGTACAATGTGTGCATGTGCTTTTCTCTAAACAATTTGAGATCTTTGAGCCGGGCATGGTGGCTCACGCCTGTAATCCCAGCACTTTGGGAGGCCGAGGCCGGTGAATCACGAGGTCAGCAGTTTGAGACCAGCCTGACCAACATGGTGAAACCCTGTCTCTGCTAAAAATACAAAAAAATTAGTCAGGCGTGGTGGCAGGCGCCTGTAATCTCAGCAACTTGGGAGGCTGAGGCAGGAGAATTGCTTGAAACCAGAAGGTGGATGTTGCAGCGAGCCAAGATTGCGCCACTGCACTCTAGCCTGGGCAATAAGAGCAAAACTCCATCTCAAAAAATAAATAAATAAATAAATAAACAATTTGAGATATTTGGTGGAAAAAAGGCTGCATTATGTGAAAGTAAGTTTAACCTAGTCATTCTTACATATTAATTTCCTTTTCTGGTACTCTGGACAAAGATTTTCTGAAACAGCATAAAAGACAATCTTCATGAAGTTTATTTACAAATGCATATATATATATATATATATGTAATGGTGGTGGGAATATGAATTTATACAAACTTTCAGAAAGAAAAATTGTTAATATATGTGAAGAGTGTTAAAAAATTGTACCAACTCTTTGACCCAGAAAATTCCTTTCTCAGAATTAACGCTGAAGCAATTATAAGGGATGTATTCAAAATGTATCTGGAAGGCCCTTCCCTTGAAGTTATTCGTATAGTGAAAGATTGGAAACAGTCAAAATGTCTATCACCATGGCATTTTTAAACAAATTATAACAAATGAATTAGAAATAATATGAAGTTTTTAAAAATTAAAGGTTTAGAAGATTACTTAATACATGCTAAAATATTTAAAATTTTGCTACATTTTAAAAATCTTGACATAAAATACTGTGCACCATATCAATACAGACACATAAAAAACAGACTTAATTCATTATCTATGAAGCACATAAGTTTGGGCATATGAGCTATTTGGAGAAAATGGGTCATGAAAGAGAGAAAAGCAGTGAACACAAAAACAAACTGCAGTGAATACAATTTCTTTTGCTAGAGTTGAAATACCTTTTGTTTTAATTTTAGTTACAATTGATAACAGATTTGGAATATCTTATTAATTATAAAGTCTCCTTTTGGGACCTCAAATGACCTCTGGAGGCCAATTAGTTATTCTGTTTCTTTAAAAAAACAAAAACAAAAAAACTAACTTAGTGCCTTAGTGAAAAGTTTGGATCAGGTTTCTGTGTCCTGCAAAGGTGGCTCATTTGCTGAGTCTATAAAGTTCCCTGCAATCTTGTCTACTCCAGGCTCATGATTCAGCATCCGCAGTGCTCAGGGCCCTGGCACAGCTGACAGAAGCTTCAGTTTGTACAAATGCCAGGAAGCTCGTTCCCGCGCTTGATTTAGCTTTTCTGCTCACTTTCCACAGCGTTAACTTTTAGGGAGACTCAACAACCCCCAAGTGCAACCTAAGGCAAGAACTGACAACTAATGATACATGAAAGTTCTTAATCTGTGGCACAAAACCAAAGGCTGGAAAACACGTCCTATTACAAATTGGAATGTTATAAATCCTGAGACATGCCAGGGCCTCCTGGGCAGTATTTATAATGAAGGGCGCCTATAAATATTTGCTGAGAAGCCATCACACTGAAAATCCCAGTTACCTATATTGCGCAAGTCCACACATGGGAAAGGTGCTACTTTTATGTTGACATGTGTTAACAATCTAGGAAACAAACAAACAAAAAAACAACAAATCTAGTGATGTTTCCCCACTTTGTTTCCTTTCCTGTGCCCCAGTATCCGGGACACCGGGGACACTGCTCAGGTTCAATGGCACTTGTTGACTCCCTAAAAGTCAGAGTTTCTTTCTGTAGCCATTCTGAGGAACTTCACCCTGACTGATGGAGGTCACTGTTTCTTACATACAAACCATCTCTCTCTCTCTCTCTCTTGCTTTAATCCAAATTCACTTGCTGTTTATTAATCCTTCCTGAAGACAAGAAATTTCATCTCCAAATGAAGGAATCAGATACCCAAGTACCCTCATATTCAATGTTCCATGGCCTTAAGCAGGCTTATTTGCCCTCTCTCTGCCTTAATTTCTTCCGTAGTACAGCAGGAATAATAACATTGACCTCACAGAATTGTTATGACGGTTAGAGAAAAAGTACTACCTACATTTCACTTCCCCTGCCCTTCTTGGGCAGCAAAGTCATTTGCACTAAAGAATCATTCTAACAGCCCATCCAGTCTTCTAATCCAGATTCGATGGCCATGAGCCTCGTCCTTCTTTACTGACTACTTTCAGGTGCTGATACGGAACTGAATAGCTCTTTATACTATCACAAAAGGTACTGTATGTATAATAAAAACAATAAACATTTTTTGTCCTGAATACCTAATGTTATCTCAAACATTTGTACATTTTAATAAATTTCTCCTCACTAAAAATAGTATCATTGAAAAAGAGCACAGGTGATTTTACCAAGACAGACATCAAAACAATGCAGTGTGCACTGATCAACTCTATGACTGGTACACTTACACTACAGAACTTGCCGACGCCAGTAACCGTACCTTAGAGTACTGTGGTTTCCCATTTTCGTAGTGAATCTCCACATAATCCGAAGACAACAAACCACTACAAAGGAAAGAAAATAGAGTGATTTCTGCATCTAAGACACTTGGAGGTTTAAAAACAATCGGCTCAATAAATGAATGTGAGGGGCATGCAAATCACAAACAGCTGCAATCCATGGTTAGTACAGAAACAAAAACAGGTTATCATCAAGAGTCTCACACAGTATCCAGGAATAAATTACTCCCCAATCTATAGGGAAAAAAAGACAAGACATAGACAATCTAACGGTGAACTCTTTTTATACACACTATTCAGGATCTGATTCATATGTTAATTAATATGGAACAAACCATAAGGCAAGTAACACGAGAAGACAGATCCTATAAAAACTCCACAATTATGCCCTAAACCGCTGGAATGTCATAAAATGTAATCACCAAGGAAGAGTGTAAAGCAAAAGTCAGCAAGTGTTTTCTATAAAGGCCAGGGAGTAGATATTTCAGGTTTTGTGGGCCATGCGGTCTCCACTACACTACTCAGCTCAGCCATTATATTTCAAAAGCAGCCACGGGCAATATGTAAACAAATGAGCATGGCTGTATTCCAACAAAACTGTATGGACACTGAAATTGGAATTTCACATAATTTTTATGTGTCATGGAATATTATCCTTCTTTTGATTTTTTTCGACTATTAAAAATACATAAAACAAGGCTGGGCATGGTGGCTCACACCTGTAATCCCAGCACTCTGGGAGGTAGAGGTCTCAAAAAAAAAAACAACCTAGTTCAGCCCCATATTAGTGGTGTGACCCTGGGCAAGTTCCCCAACTTGTATGTCAAATGGGGATGGTCAAGAATGTGAATCTCATAGAACACTGTGAGGATTAAAGGAAACCATGAATATGCAGTACTTAGCTCAGACTATGCAGTACTGGGCTAAGAAATGCAGTACTTAGCCTAGTACTTACTCAGTACAGACTAAGTACTAGTATGCTGAGTAGGTACACATAAATGGGCACTGTGGTGGTCACTATTTTAGCTCAACTTCTTAAAACATATTTCTCCCTCTACAACGTGGAAATATAAAATATGTGCCTCCTGAAGAGCACTGCATCATTAGGGCATCTAGGTTCCTGTTTGGGCTCTACCACTAGGAATAATGACAAGTGATAACTCGCATTTGCTGACCACTTACTATGGCACAGGTACTATTATAAGGACTATAATGGTATTAACTCATTTAATCCTAATGGGAACTGAAGGAGAGGAGTAGGTCCCACTCTGAGTCAGCTGTATGCCCTAAACTTGGGTCTTTATTTCTTCTTATGTAAAAATGAAGGGCTAAAGCAGAAGATTCCTCAGCTCCTGCCCTACTCTGCTATTCTGATTTTCTATAATCTTGCCTCATAGTAGGTTTTCTTGTTAGGAAACCATGACACTACTTCTTTAGCTGAAGAATGGGAGGACTCAATGATTTTGCATCACTTTGAGAGCTGCATCTGATGCATTCTAAAAATGATTCAGTGAAGAGGGCTGGAAAGGGGCGTAAAGCACCAGTCAACAGAGTAACTGGGGGCCTCCTGGGTATGTCCAGCATAGTGCCCTGTGTCTGCTAATGGACAACCTTTCCAACACAGAAAGGAAGTCAATGCTTAAACTTTAGACATGCTTCCCATTAAAATCACAAATCAAATGTGTATTGAAGGATAATTCCACTCTTGAAACTAAATTGTGGTATGTCTACTCATTCCCTTTAAAAAACCTCAGATAGCAAAAGTAATGACAATTACTGAACTCTGTATACATGGGGAATATCTCACAGGGTGCAGAAACTTCTTTCACTGCTAGTTAATTAAGTTGGCTACCAGCACTGTGATATACAGACAGAGCTGGTGATGGTACCATTCTTCTGTGGAAAGCTTCTGCAATACCAGGAGGCAGAGAGGTCTCCCTAACTGCATTCTAACTGTGTCTCTCTACAGGTAATTTATGATTTTCAACTATACAATCATTGGAGCATGTCTAAGAGTTGGAAACCACGTTATTTTAATTTTGCCTGTAATTACAGGGGCAGAGAACTGCATTCTAACCATGAATTCTCAAATCGGATAGTCACTTTAATTATCCTATTTCCCTCTTTTTAAGGGTCTCTTTTTCTCATGAACATACCTATTTGTAGTATCTCTGGCATTTTAGAATCTTAAAGAAGAAAAACAGCTACTTTTCAGGAGGTCTATGGCAAACACTGAGACAAATACACCACCATATGCCCCTCCTCACCATGCCAGTCCACTCTTCTACTTCCTATAAATAGCACACATCCCCATTTACTCCATCCTTTCCTTCTGTCTGACCACAGCTAGCCTCCCTTGAAACTAATTCTTCCACTCATCACAGTATCCCTAGCACCTGGCATAATGCCTAATGCATAGCAGGCCCTTAATCAATATCTGCTGAATGAGCAAACTTCTACCAACACCTGCTATATGGGCTTGGAAACAGGATGAAGAATGCAACTCTCAAATTGAAACTAAGCAAAATCAGCACAAACATGCAAGACTGATCACCTCACTCAAAAATATTATTTTGTAATTTCCTTGAGAGTGAATTACATCAACTGAAATGTAACCTAATTAATTATAAACGTTTTGAAATAATATTGAAATGTAATTTTTGATGATGGACAAAAAACACTGAAAAGGGAGAAGGGAACAGTTGATTGTGCAGTGGTGTGTCTCCAGCCCCACCCAGCCGAGAAGGAAAAGGTAATCTACATCTCCATATGCCTGAAGATGAGTTGTCCTTTCCTCCACCTCTGCTCTCTGTAGTCCTAATACAATTTCCTATTGGAAACAGAATGTTCTGAAATGCTAATACTCATCTGTTTAGCAATTGTGGACCCAAACATAAACTGGCATTTAACTCTGTTGATCAGCCAATTGGATGTTTGGTTCTGAAGACGCTAATAACTTGTGGGCAAACTCTGAACATCCTAAGTTCTAAAATAAACATCTTTTTTCAATTACTGAAGCTACAGAAAAGCTGTATTCTGTGGCTACTCCCATGCTTCTCACGCAGGTTATCTGTTGAAAGAGGAGTGACCTTTATAAGTAAATGGATAAACGTAGGATGGAAGTTGAAAGCCAGTGAAAGAGAGTGGAAGAACTAGAACAAGGAAACTCTTGAACCCACTCACTCTGCACCTTCATGGTGAATCTGCGCCACCAAAGTAGTGACTCTAGAATCAGACTAAATATGATTTTACTCAAAATATGAAGAACATGTAAGAGCAGGAGAATATAAAACTATTGAAACATGACAAATGAGCCAAGAATCAGGTCAATGAAGGAACTGTGGCAGAAATAATGCTGTGTGTCCACCAAATGCTATTTCATTTTCCCCTTCCTGGCATCCTGATAAGACCACATTTTGCAGCTTCTGCAGCAGTTAGGTTAGGGCCAAGACAATGGATCATGGCTAATGAGAGATGAAGGAAGTAATGTCTGCCCTTCTACTGTGACCACTAAAATCCCTGCAGGATTATCTAAGCCCTCTCTTTCATGGCAACCCTGGGAGCCACATACTCCAGATGGCATAACTGAAATATGAATGCAGCCTAGACCCTTTCATCATGAGTTGGAGAAGAGCTGCCTAAAAGAGCTGCTCAACTTGCCCTAGATCACAGTGTGGGGAAGAGATAACATATTATAGTGTTGAAGTCTCAGATTTCATGTTTGTCACTGAAACACTGTCTAAACTATCCTAATTTCAGGATTTATCACAAATCTATCTTTTAGAAATCTATGTTCAAAGAATTCCACAATTATCAGGAAATACACAAACAGAGCTGCTATTATATTTAGGAATTGGAAATTCACAAAAAGAGATTTACCTCAGGAAGGTTTTGTGTGTATGTGTATAGACGTGTGTATGTGTGTGTATTTGTTGGAATCCTTAAACATGAGATTCATGTTTCTAATGTAAGTAGACACATAAATAGCCATATGGTCAAAACTCCCAAAAGTTTGTATCTTCCATTACAAAGAAGTTCCATATGGAGAAGCCAAGAATTCTAATAATTGGAAAAGTTAGGTACCAAGATTCCCTAGTACCTATGAAAGCTATTAACCAAGAAGGGTAGATTCCAGGTTTTTTGGAAAATAACTTTAACCCCTTAATTTAAACAAAGAACCGGCTGGGTACGGTGGCTCATGCCTATAATCCCAGCACTTTGGGAGGCTGAAGCAGGTGGATCACAGGGTCAGGAGTTTGAGACCAGCCTGGCCAACATGCTAAAACCCTATTTCTATTAAAAATACAAAAATTAGCTGGGTGTGGTGGTGCACATCTGTAATTCCAGCTACTCAGGAGGCTGAGGCAGGAGAACTGCTTGAACCCATGAGGCAGAGGTTGCAGTGAGCCGAGATCACGCCACTGCATTCCAGCCTGGGCGACAGAGCAAGACTCTGTTTCAGAAAAAAAACAAAACAAACAAACAAAAATGCTTCTCTTTGGAGCAATTCTGGTCAGGGAAGTTTAGGGGTGGGCTGATCAAAGAAAACAATTGCTCAGAACAAAACAACGTGGCCAACCAGGCCTTGGGCTATGAGGAAGACTACTAGAAAAGACATACATTGGACCACAAAGGAAATCATTTTCTCTACATGACTTAAAATCATTTACTTCATTGTAAAAAGTGTATGAACTAGAATTCCTTTCTAGTTCTAAAATCTATATTCTCTGAAATTTTGTATTAAGCACTCAGTTTAATTCTAACTAGGAAATTGAGTGAGCTGCTGAGAACAAGCTTGTCTGAAGGAACCCAGAGGCCCACACAGCATTTCTTCAGCAGCAGAACTAGGTAAAAAAAAGTCTAGAAGAACAGCAGCAAGCACCAAAACCTAGCAACTGGATGGCCATATAATTTATCATCCAAACTGGGGCATTTCTGGAAAAGAAAAGAGGCATATTAATCATTGTGCCAGGACAACACACACACGTAAACCAGGAAGGACTGTCCTAGGAAAACTGGGGCATATGGTCACCCTACCAAAAGGC